CTGTGTAACTTTACAAACGGCACCCCATAGCTGCTGATTGGAGTCAGATGAGAATAAAGGTTTTTAAAGATATCCAAGTGGATGCCTCTACAGGACATCTGGGTTTTTCACCTTGGCTTGTTTGCCTTGTAAAATAACTTCAGATGAACAGCAGAAAAAGAATGAGTAAAATTTAAATGAGAGTTTAACTAAAGGTTATGAACAATAAATATCCTACATGTTATAGATTAAGCTTCGAATAACCTCATTTTGTAAAAATAACGTTTAATTTTGAAAAGATAAGCTAACAACTAGTCTAAATGTGGTAAAACTCAGAGTGGGTTATCACCATCATACAGCTCAAGTATCTGCAGTTTTGTGGTGATTTGTGCAAACATTTTATGAACATTTACATTGCCCTACATAATTTCACATTTCTCAATTTTTACATGGAAATTTATAACTATTTGCAAGTTCAAACACTCACAGTAGCTATTAGTAGCACTTCAAAACTTTTTCAGTTCTTCTTCTAAAGAGATCAATAACAAATTGAACTGTATCTTATGAGAAATCAGTAATATTTAGACTACGTAATTATAATGTTATCAGACCATGAAATGAATGTTATTAGGAATTATCAGTCCCATACAATGGCTTCAGTGGGTCCCCACTGTGCCTTCTAGGCTTCAGACTGTACAGACAGTGCCTCCTTGTGGGTTAATATATTAATGACAATGAAATAACCAAAACATATTGTAATAAATATTTGGTATCTGTGTCGGACTCGAATCCTGGTCTCCCACTCTACCCATTGCTTTACTGGAAGGCCACAATATACAATTGTCAGAGGTTAATGCTAACCATGTCATTTGCTCTAAGGTTAAACTTGGTGGCTTTAAGCCTCATATTAACCAGATTTTTTATGCCTCATAATAACCAGATAGTGGTTTTATGCCTCATATTAACCAGCTGACACTCTGAAGCCATTCTAGGGGACTGATAACACCTAATAACATCCATTTCATGGATGATAACATCTGAAGCAGGTGAATTATTTATAAAATCTCAATGCATTTAGGGCAGAATCTATTCATTAAATGAATCTTTCATTACATATTATATATATATTTATGTATATCATTTTATAGATTATGGGGTGGCTGTGGCAGGGTGGTTAGGGGAGTCATCCTGGAACCAGAAGGTCACCGGTTTGATCCCCCGCCCAGCTGTCTCAGTTGTTGTGTCCTTGGGCAAGACACTTCAGCCCTAATGCCTCTGATGTGTGTCCCATCAGTGTATGGATGTTATTGGCACTGATTAGTCTCCACAGTGATTGTACATGTTAGCTTTGTTGGAGATCTGGTATAGTGCTGTGTGAATGGGTAAATGAGGACACAGATTGTAGTGTGAAGAGCTTTGAGTGTCCTGGTTGGATAGAAAAGCGCTATATAAGTACAGTCCATTTACCATTTATTTTATCATTAAAAAGACCAATTTAGCCCTTTTAAGACAGTATTACGAAATTTTAATGAATCAAATCTAAAAACAATAAATCAATACAACACAAAACTAACCTTAAAAATTAGATAACAGTAATTTTAGGTAAATGTTTATAATAATTTTACATGATTTAACAAAGATAATGCTCTGAAAAGAAGAAATAACCATTATGATCTTATGATGGGCTGTTTATAAATAATTTAAATCTGAAAAACAGATGCTTAGTGGATGTACAAAAGGTGTACTTATCAATAAAAAATGATAATAAAACTGTTAATTGAAGCACTTTTGTGACTTTTGCTCCTCTGCTTGTCTTGATTTTAAAGTACAAATTTTACACTGATCAGTAATTTGTTTTTTTTTTATCTATTCCAGGTGTAAAAGCACTTTTATTCGTTGTCTGAAGCCAAACTATGCTAAGGTAACAACAGCTATTCTAAACTGGCAATTTCCATTTGGTTGAAAATTATTATTCAACATCTGCAGCAGATAATGTCTAACAAAGCTTCTTACTGCTTATGTATGTGCACTGCAGCTCTATGTTTAGAATAGCATAGCTCATTACAGACACTGCAGGTGCACTGAATGGTTTTGTGTAGCATTACCAAGCTTCTTACTGGCATTTCATGTGTGGTGTTTAGTTATGTGTTGTGTGACAAAGCTTGTTACTGGATTTGCATGTGCAGTGTATATGTGTTCTAAAGGAAAGCGTCAAAATGTCCCTTCTTTATGATAAAACATTTGTTTTTGGTGAAGACTCAGAAACCATTAGTTTTTGTTGTGGAAAAGGACATTTTTTTGCTTCTGGTGCAGTCACAGAAAAGGTTTTCTAGTTGGTGCGAAAGCATAAACAATTTATTTCCACTGAGGCCAGAGAAAATTTTTATTTTAAGCCAACAGGAGAATATTTTGTTGTTGGTGTGGATGTGGAAACAGTTTAATTCTGATGCAGAAATATTTTGCATTTAGTGTTAACACGAAGGCATTTTTTGTTTTAATTTTGTTCTTGGTGCAGAAATGAAAACACTGTGGTTGGTGGGTAAGAGCAAATATTTTCTGTTGCTGCAGACAAGGAAAAGGAACTGGAATTATTTTTGCTGAAGGTGCAGATGGGCATATATTTTGCTTTTTGTGTAAATGGATAAATTATTATTATTATTATTATTATTATTGGCCCTGTGATGGACTTGCGACCTGTCCAGGGTGTACCCCGCCCCTCGCACTGTGACTGCTGGAT